AGGGCCCCGCTCAGACCCCGCCAGGCTCAGTTTCAGGCCAGGGACCGAGCCCCACGCTGCCTCGGGCTCAGAGGTCGGGGCAGCCCAGGTCCAGGCAAAGTTCAGACCACATTCAGCCAGGCAGAGACCAAGAATGGCAGAACCGCTCAGGTCCGGACCCGGGGACAGCCAAGGACAGTCCCAGAACACGCCACGCAGAGACCAAATGCAGGTGAGGCTCACACACAGGCGCGGAGAACAGGCTCAGGCGCATGTCCGACGCCCACCTCGGGACGCGGCTCCCAGCCCACTGCTGTCCACTGCTGTCCGCACGTGTGGCCGGCCCGTCACTGCGTGAGCCTCTGCACAGACCATTCCCAGAGGGGCTCTGGCCGTGCTCTCCACAGCGTCACCCCTGCCTGGGCCCGTGGCCGGTGACAGCCTTCTGTGTGCTCAGATGCCCACCAGCTCAGCCCGCTCGGGGCACCCAAGACTCAGAATCCTGCCCGAGGGACCCCTGGGCAGAGCCGACCCCGCGCGTCCGCCTGTTCCCGGGCCAGGCCCAGGGTCCGAGGACTCGTGGGGTCGGGGCGGGACAAGGACCTGTGGAGAGTGCAGGGCACAGCTGCGGCCTCGCCCAAGAGGACGCGCTTGTCCCTGGTCCCCAACTTCACCTGAGGAGGTGCAGGGAGGCTGCAGGCTGAGCTCGGCGGTGCACACGGGGGGCTGCGTGGGGGCAGGGAGCCGGCCGGGCGCCCCCACCCCAGGGCGTCGATGACACTGACCTCGGCGTCTCACGCGTCTCCCTGCTTCCGGCTTCGCAGGCTCTGCCCAGGCAGGAGCCGGCCGCACTGATGAGCAACGCGCACGTGACAGGCAGAGCAACGCCGTCCACGCCAGCCGGAAACAGCTATTTTTAAGGGAGAAACAGTCCGGCGGGGCTTCTCGGCTGACAGAAGTGCCATCCAAGAGGCTATGGCGTCAGCCACGCAGGAGAGAGGCAGGCAGCGCTGGATGGACACACGGAGGTAAAACGGACACACGGACAGAGACGAGGCAGACGCACAGCTGGAGACAGGACGGACACACAGAGACAGGACGGACACACAGAGACAGGACGGACACACAGAGACAGGATGGATGCACAGAGACAGGCGCACAGACAGAGATGAGACAGGCGCGCAGAGAGAGGACGGCCGCCCAGACGCAAGACGGACACCCGCGTGCCGGAGGAGATGAACAGCCACAGCCCGTCCAGCCCATTACAGGAGCCAGAAGCCCCGGGCCCAGGAAGGTGGGCTGCTAGAGCCCAGGCCAGAAGCAGCCTGGCTGACGAGGGACTGCGCCCCACCCGAACCCCCCACAGTGCCCCTCCTGGCTGGGACCCCGGAGGACTGTCTGCTCAGGGGGCACAAGCCGCCCCCTGACCTCAGCGGACTCTGGAGCCGTGAGGCCCCTGTGGCGTCCACCTGGGCCTGTGAGCTTGCCGTGGACACTCGCTTCTCCTTTCTGGAGGGCTCCGACCGTCATCAGGCCAGGGAACGAGCTGGGGCGCCTCCTCCCCGCTCTGCAGGGATGACACCCCTCAGCCACGAGAGGTGTAGACACGGCAGGTCACAGGGAAGCCCCGGACCGAGTCTCACTGCTGGGTCACCCTTGAGACTCCGCCTCCCTGGAAAACGCCGGCTTCTGGGGGCTGGAGTGAGGGCACAGCGGGAGGGCACTTGGTTGGCACATGGCCGACCCGGGATGGATCCCTGGCATCCCATGTGGTCCCCCAAGCACCGCCAGGAGTCATTCCCGAGTGCAGAGCCAGGAGGGGCCCTTAAGCATCGCCGGGTGTGGACAGAAAAACAAAGTAAACAAAATTAAAAGTGCCGCCTCAGTGCCGGTGCAAAATGCTCCAGAAACACCGTGCTCACTGGTCAGCTGGGAGTGCTCCGGCCACTTGTTCTACGCCCGGAGTCGCGCGAGCCCCCTGCCCCAAGCCCCCCGCCCCTCTTTCTGGATTGTCCCCGCCACCTGATGCCTTCTTACCATCTCTGGGGACCTCAGTCCCCTCAGTCCTCAGCCCCCTGCCCTGGGCACTGCTGGATCTCACGGTCACGGGGCAGCGCTGCCCGGGGCCCACCCTCGCGGCACTGGACGTGACTGGCGCAGAGACAGCCATGGCCGAGCCCTCACCTCCGGCCGGGAGACCCCCCAGACTTTCCCCAGAAGGACGGAGCCTGGTGGGGGCCTCAGTACCCCAGCTGTGCCCCTGGGTGAGCCCCTCTGCCCCAGGCCCTTTGCTGGCAGACGGAGCGGGTCCCCCCGCACCCCCCCAGGCACCGACCTGGGAATGGGGCATCACAGGCTCAGCACGGCCCCTTCCTGGGGACTCCTGCGGATGGGACTCTGCCCACCTGCCCCTTGGCTGCACCCCGGGGAGTCGGGGGCTGAAGTGGCCCCCAGCACAGCATCAGGGGGCATTGGCAGCAGCGGGGAGATGCAGGAACCCACACATGCTTCCGCTCAGCTGCCGGCCAGAGACAGGCTCCAGGGATGGGCAGGACGGGTGTCACAAGGGCGACACCCCCAGAGAAGGCTGGTCCTGCCCGGAGCAGCAAACCCGTCACTGGCCCACCCGCCCTCCCCCGCCAAGACACACTTCCTGTACCCTCGCACATTCGGACACACACATGCACACTCGTAAGCACGCACACAATCACATGCAGACACCTGCACACGTGCACACATCCATGCTCACGCATGCACCCTCACACACGCAGGCGCCCGGCTCTGGAGCTCCGCCTGATTCTGTCCAGCCCCGCCCAGCGGGCCCAGCCGGGTCACCTGCTCTCGGTGTGTCTATAGGCCCGTGGCTGTTTCTGGGGCCGTCACGTGGCAGCCGTGGCCCGCCTGCCTCCTCTTAGGCTGTGAGCCACGCCACGTGTCACGGCAGGGGGCAGAGCGCTCTGCGCCGAGCCCGGTTTCCATGGAGGTGCCTGGGCGCCCCCAACACAGCCGTCCACTTGCAGCTGGCCCGGCCTGACCTCCTGCTTCTTGGGTCTGGAGAGTTCTGGGCGCTGGAAACCATGGAGACGGGCAGGGGGGCTGAGTGTGGAGACGGAGAGGAGGGTAGGATGGGGGGGCTCGGGGGGGGGGCTCGGGCGCCTCAGCACATGGACGCACTAGGTGGCTGCAGCAAAGGAGAGACAGTGTGTGTGTGTGTGTGTGTGCATGTGTGTGTGTGCGTGCGCGCACTGGGGGGGCAGCTCCTCCTCACCCCAAATAGCCCAGCCCAGAGCCCGCCCAGCCCAGCCCACCCGGAGCCCAGACCCAGCCCAGAGCCCACCCTGGGGCCCGGCCTTTCCCTGCCAGCCTTGGGTTTCTCGACTGGACTGAGTCTCCTTAGGATACAGGGTGCCTGGGGGTGACTGTCTTCCGGTCACTCCAGGGATCCGGTCTAACCCCCAGCTCTGAGGTCAGGCCCCCGGTTCCCCACCCCCGGCCTCCCCAGCAGGTCGGCTGTGCCCCCTGCACCCAGCCCACCTCGGGCCCACCGGGCTCTCGGCTCCACATATCCAGAGGACCGTTCTGGAAACACGTCCTTCCCTCCAGATCCGGGGTGCCCTGTGCTCGCATCCCCTCCCCCGGCCCTGCTCCCCAGCCTGCAGGTGCCCGGGAGGCCTCGCTCCCCCTTCTGAGGTCAGGCTGGGGCGGGGCCTTGAGGCGGACGCTCTCGTGGGCTGTAACCGGCGAACAGGAAGCGACACGGACTGAACGAGTGAACACGCAGCCACGGCAAACGGGGAGGGAAAGGCCCGACCGTCATTGTTTCTCTGGGGGCAGGAGTGAGAGTATGACTGTAGGTGTGTGAGTGTGCATATGCACGCACGTGTGTGTGCATGTGTGCGTGTGTGCATGTTCTCAGAACAGGACGGCCTCAGACTGGGCCAAGGACAATGAAGATAGTCAAGTTTCCACTCAGGCCTCTGCTATCTGCTTGTTCCGGGAGGAATTACAGGGCCCTGAGCTATGAAACAGACGGCTGTCACGGGCCCGGGCTCAGCCCTGGGACCCAGATATGGCGTGAAGCCCGAGCGGGCACTTAATAAATTGTGACCCTCAAATCTGCTGTAGCAGCCGACTTAGGCCTAGATAAGTAACCCCTGTGCCTTGGGTCGGGGTCTGGCCTCTCACACGGGACCTGCGCGTCGCTGTGTGCGTGTGCACGACCCTGGCTAGCCGGCTCAATAAACCGCCTGCTTGCTGGCTGCATTCCTGTGTGGTCCTTATCTGCGGTCGGTCGGAGATCCAGAGCCATGCCTTAACATGTGTGTGTGTGCATGTGAGTGTGCATGTGTATGCATGTGAGTGTGCTTGTGTGTGTGTATCTGAGTGTGTGCGCATGTGTGTGTATGTGAGTGTGTGTATGTGAGTGTGAGTATGAGTGTGTGTATGTGTGAGTATGTGTGCATGTGAGTGTGTGTGTATATGAGTGTAAGTGAGCGTATGTGTGCATGTGTGAGTGTATCTGAGTGTGTATGTGAGTGTAACTGTGTGTGAGTGTATCTGAGTGTATACGTGAGTGTGTGCATGTGTACATGTGAGTGTATCTGAGTGTGTGAGTGTGCATGAGTGTGTGTGTGAGTGTATGCATGTGCGTGCATATGAGTGTGTGAGTGTACATGTGCGTGTGTGCACGCGTGCAGGGCACTGAGCCACGGCCCGTGGTGCTGGGGACTGCTCCTGGCTCAGTGCCGAGTGGCCCCTGCTGGTGGGGCACCGCAGCAGGGTCAGAGCGGCCTCAGGGGCCGCTCTCTGCAGGAGTCCAGCCCCGGGGGGAGGGGCCGTGTGCCTCCCGCTTGCTCATCCTGAGCCCGGCGTGACCACTCGGGGCCCAAGCACGGACACAGCAGGGAGGCCCACGGATTTATTCCGACCAGAGCGGCTGCCCGCGGAGACGCCCGCCCCGGCTGGGAGGGGCAGGGCCAGGCCTGTGCCCGAGGGGGCCGAGAGCAGCTGGCCTGGGAGCAGCCTCAGGGCCGGGCCTCCTCGGGTGGCGGGTAGAAGGCGGGCCCGTCCTCGCAGACCCGCAGACCCCAGCCCCCCGCCCCGGGCCCCCCCGGCCCCTGGTGGTCGGAGCAGTTGCGCAGCTGCAGGTCCTTGGAGAAGCAGAGCTCGACCTGGCCCAGGGTCTGCACGTCCCCACCCTGTGGGAGGGAGGGAGGGAGGGTCAGAGCAGCCGACCCCACCTCCCGCCGGCTGGGGAGCAGCAGAGAGGGGCCACGCTCGGTCCACGGACGGCCTCAGGGTCTCTGCTGATGACAGCAACCCGGTGGCCCAGGCACCACAAAGCCCAGGGAAGCCATCCTGAACGGCTCGAAGCGCCCGCCCTGCACCAGCAGGGGGACCTGGGGGGATGGTGTGGGGCAGACACACACACAGACCCACATGTGCTCACAGGGCACGCAGACATGCACACACACACACACACACACACACACACACACTCACACAGCCCCCCACACACATGCAGAGACACACAGACACACCCACACCTGCACACAGCCCCCCACACACATGCAGACACACAGACACACACCCACTGCACACATGTACACAGGCCAACGGATGCGCTCAGGAAGCCAACACAGACACACAAACATGTGCGAGTCCCCCCTCATGCACTCACAAGGACACAACACAGCCACAGGTGCACACAGCTCCCCCCCTCCAGGCACACATGAGACACACACAGCACAGTGCACAACCCCATGTACATGCACACACACAGCTCCATACACACACACACACATGCACCGAGGTACACACACGCACACGCATGCTGTGACGGGTACTGCAGGGGACGTGCCTGACCTGGGCGGGCGGCAGGCACTGCACCTTCGGGACGACTCCGTAGACACTGGCCAGCGCGTCCTTGATGTCTGCGACCTGGAATGGGGAGAGAGCCTTGAGCCCCCTGCAGAGACGTGCAGGGCCGACGCCATTCTCCTCACTGTCCCCTGGGGCTCCGCAGCTGGGCCACCAGCGGCCGCCTTGGTGCCCAACTTCTCTGCCCACCAGTCTGTGCCCGCCTGGGGCTGAAGAAGAGGAAGTGGCTGGGCTCTCCCAGGTGCGTCCTGCTGTTCCAGAGGGGAACAGAGGGGCTGAGAGCCACCTGCGGCCACCACAGCCTCAAGCTTTCCCTGGGGGTCACACTCGGACCAGAAGCTGCACAAGCCCCGTCCCTCGCTGGTTTGCGCGAAGGAGCTGGACTGCGGTCTGGGTCCAGGAGGACAAGGGCAGCAGCAGCCTGGCTCCATCCCCACTCGGGGACACTGAGTCCGGGATGCACGGCCAGCACACCGTCACCCCACCGCACCCCTCCCAGGGCTGGCGGGAGCCGCAGGGCACACGTCGGAGCTGGAACGGCAGCACCAGGCTCGGGTGGGCGAGTTCCCGGGACGGAACTTCTGCCCCCACGAGTATCTGTGCGCCAAGTCATCCTGCGCCTGGGCGCCTCCAGCTCACTGGTTCGAGCCACACGTCCTGGGCAGCACCCGCCGACTCCAGCCACGCTCTCGGCTCCGCTCAGTCCACCAGGACCAACCGGCTGTGCGGTCCTCACCAAATGCTCTTAACAAGGTTCTCAGACTGCACTGCCAGGGGCCGTGGACTCTGGGTCATACGTCTAACCGGAGCGTCCAAGTCCTGAGTGTGAGCGAGACCGCACACAGCCCCCGCCGCCGAGCGTGGCCCAAGCCAAGGCAGACACACGCCGGACAAGCTGGGCACGAGACTGACCTGGTAGTAGTTGGTGGACGGCTTGATCCCCAACTTCTGCAGCACGCTGGAGTTCAAACGCAAAGAGAAGTTAGTGGCTCCTCGGACACCCCACGGGAGCTGGGGATCCGTGCGCCTTTAAAGGAAACTGCTTATGGGCAAAGCATCTGTTAACAGAGACCGGAATTAAGGGGCCTGGTCCATCCAGACCTGCCCAAACCCAGCCCTCAGCACGGGTATAGGGCCCCCACCAGCCCGCAGGCCTAGCCTGCGTCCAGATGCCCCTGCCCGCTGCCCACTACTCTGCACTGCCTACCTGCCATGTGCCATGGGGCCACACCCGCTGTGCTCAGGGCCTTCAGAACTGGCCCTGTCGGTGCCCAGAAGGAAACTGGGCCTCTGCTCAGCGCTAAGTGCTCTCTTGTCCTGCCAGCCGGGCACTCAGCTCTGCCTGCTCAGATCTTCTCGGAGCTCTTCCCGAAGCTGAGGTCCAAAACAGCCCCGCGAGACCTCTGGCTAGCGAGCGCCTCTTGGTCACAGGGGGAGTTCACACGTGCCGGGCTCCCCGCGCTCCCTCCTGCCTGTGCGGGCTCGACCCAGGGTGCGGACATGGTCTCCTGGCCTAGAGCGCATCTGATGCGGCCATCAACAGACACGTTTGTTCCAGGCTTACAGGAGGCCTCGGGGAAGGGTTCTGTGGGCCCAACAGGGCATGTGTGCTGGGAGCCTGGTACAAACCTGCTGCCCCACAAGCACCAGAGGGGAAATGCCGGGTTCCGGAGACGCCGAGCTCCACTGTGAAATGTCCCCGGAATTTGCTTATGTGGGTCTGAAGCTGCAGGGTATCAGAGTGCAGTCGCTTAAATGGACACGACTCAACTTCCTGTCTTTGCCCCTGCAGCTGCGCGGCTGGTACCGGGCAGAAGGAGGGCGGGGAGCCCCACGGTGTCCACCACACTCTGCCCGAGGCCTGACGGCGGTCAGCAAACAGAGTCAGAGTGGCTGCACCAGGACCACCACAGACTCCTTACTGGAGCTGATGGCCGTGACCGCCTCCTGGGCCTGGCGCACCCAGGCCAGGCCAGACAACAATGCGGGCAGCGGGAGAGGTCACTCTGACTGCCCCCTCCTGGGGAGCTGGGAGGAGTTTAACTGCTCACCAGGCAGCAGGGCCTTGCAAGCACCCACTGCACAGAGGACCCGGCGGCCAGCCCCAGGCCCACCGGAGAAGCAGCCTCTGTACCTGCACAGACACGCTTCTGCACGGGTGAGGCCCCATGATTCTGCGCCTGTGTGAACGAGTGAGGCCATGTAATTCTGCACTTATGTGTGTACACCCTGTGATTCTGCACCTGTGTGTCCAGGTGAGGCCCCGTGATTCTGCACCTGTGTCCAGGTGAGGCCCCGTGATTCTGCACCTGTGTCCAGGTGAGGCCCCGTGATTCTGCACCTGTGTCCAGGTGAGGCCCCGTGATTCTGCACCTGTGTCCAGGTGCGGCCCCGTGATTCTGCACCTGTGCGCTCACATGAAGCAATGATTTAGCAGCTGTGTGTTTGGACGAGGGTCCCAGGTGGGCAGCTGAGTCTGATGCCCCACCTTCCATGGCAGGGTGTGGGGAACTGTGTTGGAACAGAGGCGTGATTTCTCTGTCTTGTCGAAATCCCCGCCGGTTTCTGCCTTCCCTCCTTCCTGTCTGACCCACTGGAGCTGGCTGTGGGTCAGCCCAGCTCAGCGGGCCAGACCCCTGGCTCTGCCTCCTTTGGGCCCCACCCACCAGGTCTGAACACCAACAGTCCAGAGTCCTGCTTCTGGCTCTCGGTTCTGGGAGCCACTTAACACACTCCTGGTCCTGCTCCCGGTGACCCGAGGCGGGTGGGCTACACCTCCCAAGGCCTGGCTTCCCACCCGGGCAAGGACCCCTCCTGGCTCTTGCCTCCCAGGCAGGGGTCAGCCACAGGCGGCTGTGCGGGGCCAGATGACAGAACGAGTCGCCCACCATCACCATCACTCCTGCCCTGAAGAGCACAACCCCACCCACTGCAGAGCGGCCAGCACCCCTGGGTGCTGCGAGTGGGTGAGTGGACTTGACTCCAGGGAGCCTGGTATCCAGCAGGTGTGAGCATGGCGCTGTGTCTGGGCAGCCTCGCAGCTGAGGTGGGAGGCGACACAGGGCACAGGCCCGTCCCTGCCTGGGGGCCGGGGATGGTGCCCGGTGGGCCGCCAGCCTGTGAGGAGCTGGGGTCTCGCAACAGTGGTGACCAGTGACTGGCGGGCTGTCCCACACTGGCAGGGCCGGGGCGGGAGGGAGCATAGGGCCCTGGGTAGCCTCTAGGCGACCCTGCACCTTCCTGCTGGCTCTGGGCCCAGCAGACCCCCGGCGCAGGTGGACGGGGCCACCGGCGGGAAGCGCAGCTGCACGAGGCTCGCCCTGCGCTGACAGCGACCACCACCTGCTGGGCGCCCTGAGCAAGCTGGGCGGACCCGGAGGACAGAACAAGCGCTGGGCTGACGGCCCCGCCCACTAAGCAGGGCGCATCCTCCTCCGCGCAGGTGGACCGTCCACCGCCTTCCCTGCTTCCTTCTCCACGGAGCGGACAGCCCCGCCTTGGACTGATAGCCCCGCCCACTCAGCAGATGCCCCCGCCCCAGAGGATGGCCCCGCCCCCCAGTGGATGGCCCGTCCCTCATCAGATACCCCCGCCCCTGACCAATGGCCCCACACCTGAGCAGATAGCCCCGCCCCCTGTGGAGATGGCCCCGCCCAGAGCAGATAGCCCCACCCCCTGAGCGATGGCTCCGCCCTCTAGTGGCTAACCCCGCCCCCGCAGCAGATGCCCCGCCCCTGCGCGGGTAGCCCCGCCCACCTGCAGGGTTGGGGGTCACGCCCACCTGTTGAGCCCCAGCGCCTTGTACAGCTCCAGGCTCTTGCCGAAGTACTTCCTCTCGGAATCCAGGACGTCCAGCTGTGCCGCGCAGGTCCCATGTTTCTCCCACTCGTGCTTCCTGGAAGGTTCCAGAAAAATCCAGTGAGGCTGGGGAGGGCGGAGCCCCGTGGGGGCGGGTCAGTCATTGTGGTTCCTACAGGTGAGGTGAGGTGGACACAGACCCTCCGGATGGGGTCTGCCATCCCCCCAGGGCACAGCCCAGGATGCAAGCAGGAGCAGGGCCCCTGGGGCGCGAGACGGCAGGACCCGGGAGGGGCTGGTGGGAAGAGCAGAGGCAGAGGACAGTCCCCGCTGGGCCCACGTGGTGGCAGGCCGGGGCAGACCCAGGGTGCAGGCCACGATCTGGCCCACCCGGTGTCTCCCACAGCTCACGGAGCGTCTTCTGGCTTCACTTGGTTCTCAGGATGCTGCAAGGTGCCCTCGGTGCTGGCAAAAATGGGGAAACTGAGGCAAGGGGATCTGGCCGGGGTTTCTTTCTGGCAGCAGACCGGGTGGGTGGGTGCTGGGAGGTTGGTCTGGGGCCACCCACATGGCCGGCACGCTCTGCGGCCCTGTTTGAATGTCCCATCTTCCCCAGGGAGCGAGGGCTGGACCGCATGTGCCCAACAGAACTGCTGGACATGGGTGGGGTCGGGCAGGGCCTGCCACAGGCATCCGAGGGTGGCAGTGGCATGGGCCTGCTCCTCTGAGCCAGAGGTCTCTCCGGGTCTGGGATGGCTCTCGAGCTGGCCGTCAGCACCTCTCAGGCCCGCTCCTGTGACCGCCTGGGTGCGGCCAGCATTTCCTATTTCCTGGGACAAGCTGCAGCTGCGTCTCCTGACCGTCACTACCTGCAGGCAGGCACGCACTGACCCGCAGGGCCCGGTCAGGACCCTGCCAGCACCTCCCTGCTGCCCATCTGCCCTGACCAGCCACAGGAGCTGTGGGCCACACCCGCCACCCCTGAACTCTGGCCCAGAACAGCTTCTGCAAAAGTCAACTCTTTTTTCTGAAAATTCCACGCAAAATCATGTCCCATTTTAACTCTTCGGACAAACCATGCTTGGCTGCAGTCCAATCATGTCGGAGTGGGGTGGACGCAGCCGCGGGAGCCCTTTGCCCCTCAGCGAGCTCCGGGTCACATGGACCAGCCTGCAGGCATGTCCCCTCCCCCGGTAAACCCCCCATCCTGCCCCCAGAGTGCCCCCACAGCTTCCAGAACAGTCTCCCTCCGGATCTGGAGACCACTTAGAGGGGACCTTAACTCTGATGAGTAGCAGGAAAAACGCCCCATCAAGTTCACTGGCTCTCACGCTTTCTCGAAAGGCGCCAAAACTTAGGCTAAGAGCATGTGTCCACCTCCCGGCCTCCTCCCCCTGTGTCCCCCTTGTCCACAGCAGCCAGGAGGCCCTCGGACCTGTCCCCTCCAGGCCCGAAGGGGTGACTCACCAGAAATGGCTGCTGTTTGGGGATGTGTGCGTCACGTCTGGCCAATAGATCTTCAGGTCTGGCAGAAGGTCCTGCGTGTGAAAGTTCACATAGCACCTTCCGCCCAGGCCAGGAGGGAGGCTAGGGCCCCGGGCGGGATGACCACACGCATGGTTTGCCCTACACTTGGGGGGAAGCCAAGTCAGCACAGGTGGACAGCCTGGAGGGCCCTGGGTGGTCATAATGTGGAAGAGCACGAGGGCACGAGGGGCGCCTGCAGCCAGCCGTGCTGTGGGGCCTCCCAGAGTAGCAGTGGACAGGCACACTGGGGTCCTGGCTCTCAAGGTAGAGGCTCTGGCTCAGGACAGAGCTGGACATGGCAGGGCTGCTCTGGACAGGCCGTGGCCTGCGGTCACCTCACACTCACACTCACACTCACACTCAGGCTGGGACATTCTCCAGCTTGGACTGGACCAAGACAAGAACTGGGGCAAGAACAGTCCACTGCCAGGGCGCTCACTCCAGGTGGCCAGACTGGCAAGCGAGCTATGCAGGGAGTGTCCAGCTGCCACCTGGTCCGCACACGGTGCCTGGCGCACCCGGCTTGTGCCTTCGCTGTCCTTTCAACACGGCTGCCCCGCCCGCCCGCCCCCATGGTGCCTCCCGAATTCCCCAGCCATGCCACACTCCCCGCAGCTCCTGCTCCTGCCGTCTGCCTCAGGGACCACGCCTGACCACGCGAGCCGGTCACTCCGCACTGCGCCCCCCTCCCCGTGGCACTTCTGCCCCTCCCGCTCCAGCCCAGACTGCTCTCTCCTCACCGAGCCCTCCTGGGGTGTGTGGGCACACGTGTGCACAGACATGTGTCTGTCTGCACGCACGTACGTGTCCATGTGCGTACACGCGTGCATGTGTGTACATGGCTACACCCGTGTGCGCAACGATTGCCTGCATGTGCATGTGTGCTGTGCACTTATGTGTGTGCTGGTGTAGATGTGTACCTGTGTGCACATGTGTGTGCACATGTGTGCATGCGTGTCCATGCCAACCCCCAGCAGTGCCTGACTTCCCTCCCAGGGCCCGGCAGCGTGTGGGGACAGGAAGGGGAGACGGCCCCTCTGCCCCCCTGAATCGGCACCACAGGGCCCTTCTAGGGCACGCCCACGCCATCCAACGAAGGACTCGTGGGTCCCTGGGGAGAAGAGCCGGGGGGCTCCCGCGTGGGGGTCCCAGATGGGGCCAGGACCTTGATCTCGTCGTAGTGGAAGTGCCAGGAGCGGTTGCAGGCTTCGGCTTTGTCGGGCCTGGAAGGTCAAAGGAGAAGAGCTGTACCTGGTGGCACCGTCTGGAGCCCCCGTCGAGATGGGGACAGGGACGGCTCGACCCCGTGAAGAGCCCTCAGGAGCACACAGGGAACACCAGCCCGTTCCCGGGCCCCAGGCTGCTGCGAGACCCTCCTCAGGCCACCACTGCTGAGATGCGCCTGCCCAGCGGTCAGTGGGGCCAGCTCGCACCCCTCCCCCAGCGGTGGGCATGAGGGAGCCCCTCCCACAGCCTCCCGGGCACCTGCACCCACCCGACGGCCAGGCTGAGCGAGAGATGGAGGGGTCTGCTGCGGGACAGATGGGGGAGGCCACCGGGGCAGGAGACAGCCGGGGAAGCAGCTGCCGTGCAGAGGGTGTGCAGGGATGGCCGGGGAGAGCCAGAGACAGAACCCAGCACACAGCACCCTCTGGGCGCTGGCCCACAGAGAGGGAGCGGGAAGCACGAGACAATGGTGGTGCAGCCACCTTCCACCAGATCTCTAGACTGGGTCAGCCAAAGCCAGGGCCAACTGCTGAGAGGGGAAGTGGGGACAGAGAGGGGGAGGGGGACAGAGATGGGGAAGCAGGAGATGCTGAGATGGAGAAGCAGGAGATGCTGAGATGGAGAAGCAGGAGGTGCTGAGATGGAGAAGAGGGAGATGCAGAGATGGGGAAGCAGGAGATGTTGAGATGGAGAAGAGGGAGGGACAGAGATGGGGAAGAAGGAGATGCTGAGATGGGAAGCAGGAGGGGCCCTGAGGGTGCCAGTGCCGAGTGCGGGGTCCCAGCAGAGATGCCAGCCCAGGTAGGGACAGCCTGGATGCAACGCTGTGTGGACCCTCACCATAACCCGTGGATCGTCCAGAAGTCAGGGGGGTCTTGGCAGTCCTTCCCAGCCTCCTGTGGGCAGAGGGGGTGCGGCAGGGTGAGCCAGGCGACTGCCCGCTCGTCTGTGCTCCTCCCATTCACCCTCATCTGCCTCCCTCACCCGGTACACCCCCCTTGAATGGCTTTTTGCCTTTATTCTGTCTTTCCACGCCCGGCAGCCGCTCTCTCTGACACAGCCCCCACCGCCAGGACAGCGCCCCAGGCCCGGTGCCGATGAGAGCAGCAGGTGGGACCAGGCCGGGGCCACCCAGAGCACCTGTGGCCCCGACAGTGTTGGCGCCAGAGGCGGCCCCGGCCCTGCAGCATCTCGGCAGCCTCCCAGGGCCACCACCGGGCAAAGGGGTTTCCAGGGGAAAGGCGGGCAGGGGCATGCCAGGGGCCGGGCACAGACGGGTGCCTGGGGCGGTGGCCTGTGGCGGGCAGGGCAGGGGCTAGGCAGAGGGGGCTGCTGCGTGGGGGGGGGGGGACGGGGGCCAGGCTGCCCTGGGCCCCCCGTCGGCCAGATCATCCCCCAGGGCCCACCAGGGAAGGGCCCGGCCGGCCTCTGTTTCAGCCCACTCGGTGAGGGGACAAGAGGTGGTCTGAGTGAAGCCGATTCCCGACAAGGAACAGCATGTGGGGCTCCTGCGCCCACTCACCCTCCCACCCACTGCAGCACCCTGAGGCGCACGCGGCCCTGCAGGTGGAGACAGCCCAGCAGTGGAGACGGGGCTTATTCCCCAGCCCCGCCCAGAGCCCAAACCAGAGCATCTAGCGGGACACAGCCCCGGGGGTTTCCTCAGATACACAAAAGTGTCACGGACTGCCCAGCATGTGACCACTTGTCTGCACTGCCCCGGGCTCCGGGGTGGGGCTGCCTGTGGAGGCCAGAGGCCCAGGCTGACCTGGCCGGAGGCTGGACTCACCTTGCACACGGTCACCGGCCAGTGGTGCACCATGATCAGCTTCTTCCACTCGTGGGTACCGCTGTGGGGACAGGACCAAGCTCAAAGTGACCGGAGAGGGACCGCCACCCACCCGAGATGGGGCCAGCCAGCCCTGTGGGTCGGGAGCCCAGGGAGGAGGACAGTGCTCAGAGGACTCTGCACAGGCCCGTGTCCCCCCTCCTTGGGCCCCGAAACCGAGCTCACCCGTGGATCCTTCTGGGGCTCCCAGAGGGCCACCCGCGGGGAGACTCACAGGGAGGGGGGAGGACGGGGCACTGGGACCTCCTGAGGCCTCAGGGGCCCCCAGCCCAAGGCAGCCCACCGGGGAGCCCACCGGGGAGCCCATGGGCGACCACCGCAAAGCACAGTGCCGGGTCAGCTCCCCCAGGGCTCAGTTCTCAGCACTCTCCGTCCTTTCAGTGCTCTCCGTCCTCCCAGTGCCGTGTCAGTCCTCCCAGGGCTCTCCATCCTCCCTGCCCCACGTCAGCCCCCCACGGCCGGCGTGCCCAGGAGAGATGCTGAGTCAGGGCAGGTGGGGGGGTGGGGGGAGCAACAAGGCCGGGGAGGGACACGCCTCTGGGTGGGACACGGCTCCGGGGAGAACAAGGCCAGTGGGGGCAGCAGAGTGGGCGTGGGTGCGGGAGAGCGGGCCTTCTGGGAGCACTCACTGGTGGGAGGGGCCTCGGCCCTGCTGACCTGCCCTTGGGAGCTGCTGTGTGGGGGGAGGGGGGGCAGGGTCTCTGTTCTCCAGCCAGGCGGACGTGGGGCTCAGCACACGGTCTCTGCTGGCCGTGGCTGTCCCAGGGTGAGCACGCAGGGGGACCAGGCACGGACTATCTGGACCGCCGCTGGACCCGACCAGCCAGGCAGGCACCAGGCAGAAGAGCTGGGGGAACTGTCCGGCACTCTCCCCGGATGCTGGGGTGCAGCTGCTGCCCCGCAGGTGCCCGAAGAGGGGGAGGGTGCCTGGCACAGAGGACAGCACAGCTGGGTGGCACAAGTGGCTGCAAGGCAGGCCTGGTGGGGGGGTCTCACCTGGCCCAGGACAGCCCCAGGGGCACAGGAGGAAACCTCTTAAAGGGGCCGGGCAGTCACAGGAGAACACAGAAGGAGCGAAGGTTGGCGGGGTCAGGGCGGGGAGGCTGAGAAGTGCTGAGAGTGGGGACCCTCCACCCCGCAGCCTCTGGGCAGGGACCAGGGCCGGGAGGCCCCAGAAGGAACCCGTGACCTCACCGAGTGCTCGGGAGCCTTCGGAGGCCACCCGCGGCTGCACGGGCACTGCCCTGCCGAACGTTCCCCTCCCCAAGGGGCCCCGGCCAGTGCCCGCGGGGCGCACGCGGAGACCCGAAAGCAGACCCTGCGGGGGCCTCGGGGCGGCCGGCCCTGGGCGCACTGTCTCCCCGGGCACCCACCGCCCCGCCCCGAGGGGCGCCCACCCGCTCCGGGACATCCACCCCGGGCACCCACCGCCCACCCCGGCACCCACCTGCTCCACGCGGCGTGCGCGCAGCCCAGGCAGCCCAGCGCCAGGCAGGCGGCGCCCAGCAGCACCCGCCGGGCCGCGGGGGTCTCCATGGTGGACACAGAAGGACACGGACCCTGCAGACCCTGCGGCAGGCACGCGCGCGTCCCAGGCCTCTGTCCACCCTCCAGACTCCCTGCGCACCGCCGCACCCGACCAGCACGGGGCGCCCAGCAGCCCGGCCCGCGCGTTTCCGCCCGGGGTGCCCGGCCCCGGACATGCCCGCGCGGGGCCGCCCCCAGCGCCCCGGGGGACACGCCCCGGGAGGGACACGGCCCCGGAGGGACACGCCCCCCGGAGGGACACGGCCCCGGGAGGGACACGCCCCCCGGAGGGACACGGCCAGGTGGGACACGGCCGGGCGGACACGCCCCCGGGAGCGAGAAGGCCCGGGGAGGGACACGCCTCTGGGTGGGACACGGCTCGGGGAGAACGAGGCCCGGGAGGGACACGCCCCTTGGCTGGACACGCCCCCGGGAGGGTCCGCCCCTCGTCCAGGCGCGACCCAGCGCCCTGCGGGGTCTCACTGATTCCCCCGTACCGCATGCGCCAGCTCCGCCACCAGCGTGTCCACTGCAGGAGGCCCCCGCCGAGTCCTCCTGCGCCCCTGGTTCGGCAAGACACCCCGGGAGGCCCTTGTTCCCGCAGGCGCCCGGCGGGCAGGGCCGCTGCTGCCTGGAGCAGTCCGGGACAGCTGATGGCCCGGGCAGGCCACGGCGGGCACACGGCCCTGCTGGGCCAGTTCCCCCGGCCGGCCGACCGCGCAGTCCCCACTCCTCGCGGCTGGACTCCCACACCTAAGCCCCAAGCGCACAGAGGGCAGGGGGAGCTTTAGGCCTGCCCCGGGAGAGGGTCTCCAGTCCCCGCTTGTCGTGGCTGGGGAGGGGGCAAAGGCGGCTCTCACTGAGGAGGCACGTGGCTGAACCCTCTCCCTGCCCCGCGTGGGCATTCTCAGGCCCGGCCAGTCCCACCAGGAGAGGCCCAGCTGCCCTCCCCCTTGCCTCCCTGCTGGCCCTCCTCCCCTTCGTCTCTCCTCTGTCCTCCCTCACTGGGGTCGAGGGTGACCCAAGCATCCCCTCCATCGCGTTCCTGGGCCCCAGACGGCAAATGAGCACTGTCACCTCACGTGATGTCCAGTCACATGGACTGCGCCATCTCGCGTGCCTCCAGGGCTGCCCAGGTTCAGAGCGTTTGTCCGACACACGCCACCCTCCTTTCGGTCCCTCTGGGCCACTCCCCTGGAGCAGGGAGTGGGGTCACTGCTTCCAGCTGCCCAACAGGCAGGCGACGTCTGCACCCCTCTGACCAATGGGGCACCTCCAAGCCCCCTCCAGGCCCTTCCCTGTGCCGAATGTTCTCTGCGGGTGTCTGTTGGATGAGCTGGCCCTACAGTGACAGAAATGACTGAGTCCACCCCACTCACCCAGCCAGGCTCTAGTGGTCAGTGAAGGCAGTAAGCCCAGGGACCAGGCCTGAAGGGCCCCGAGTGTGGGAAACAGCAGGTCAGGGCCAGGCAAAGGCCCTGCGGCCTGGGCAGCAGAAACCTCGGCGTCCAGCCCAGCTCTGCAGAGTGCCCAGGGCACAGCTGTGTGTGCCCAGAAACAAAAGCAGACGAGGCAGCGTGTCCTGCTGTGAGCCTGCCTTTGAAATGAAGTGAGTGTGGCCTTCTGGGCCCCCACTCGGGACTTGACTCCCTCCGGGCCAGGAAGCTTCCCTCGGAGGAGAGCACCTGAGGGGGTGGCCGGCCCATGCCCCAGCCCCAAGCAAGCACAGCTGCAGGACTGTTCTGCATTTGTCCTGGGCGGCCGGGTCTGGGTGTGCGGGGGTCTTCTCAGACCCCGGGGGGGGGGCTGTGAACAGGAGTCGGGGCGAGGGTTTCAACCAAGGTCCAGGACTGGTCAAACTCAGCCCTGCCCAGCTGATTTCAGGGCTGCGCCCGGCTTCCAACTTCCTCCTCCGCATCTGCTGCCCCTCCCCCACCGGAAGTGCCCTGACAGGAAGCTTAGGGGGGCACCGCCACCCCCCACACTTCCCTTCAAGACCCACACCCCGCACCCCGCTCTGTGCTCTGGTTTTGGTTGTGGTGTTTTTTCAGGTTTTTTTGTTTCTTTTGTTTGCTTTTGGGTCTGGGGACCAGCCCCAGCGGTACTCAGAGCTTGCTCCTGGCTTTGTGCTCAGGGGTCACTGAGGTCTCTGTGGGGTGCTGGGGGTCAAACCAGGACTGGCTTCACGTCAGGCAAGTGCCTTAAGTCCTGTGCCATTCTGGGCCCATTGTTCCTTCGTTTGTTGTTTCTTTTCTGTTTGGGGGACAGGTACAGAGGCTACTCCTAGCTCAGTGCTCAGGAGGCCATGAGGTGCCAGGCCCCCTGCGTGCAAAGCCTGTAAGGCAGAGGTTGTCAGCGGTCAAGCTCTCTCTCCAGCCCCTGCATTTCAGTTCTTAGGGAGCCTCCCGCTGACCGCAGGCTGTCCACTGCCCGCTCCCCTGGACGCTGTCTGTGGTGCTGTGCGCTCACAGGCAGTGCGGGTCCCGCAGCTGAGAGGGGGCAGGGGGAGTGGGGCCGAGCCAAGGTCGGTCTGCCGAAGGCCAGCTGCACCGGCCAGGGCACTGCTGGAAGGACCCCGAGGGTTTGGCTCCACACAACGCCAAAGGAGCCGATCGGGAGGCCCAAGAAGCAGATGGCTCTTGGGCATAGGCCCAGAGCTGCCCGGCCATCTCTGCTCCGCGCTGTCCCGGGACAGACAGACCCAGACAGCAGCCCTGAGCAGGGTCTCCAGTGGCCCTGAGCCAGGCAGTCTGTGCCGGGGAACCCGGGCTGCCAGAACGAGGCCTCAGGCGGCACAGGGACCCCCACGTCTGAGCTGCCGTTCCACTCTCCCAGCTGACCCCGGGGCCACAGAGCAAACGCATCCCACGGGTGGGCCTCAGGTGGAACATGGGGAGCCAGAGGGGTGACCCTGGTGATTGTGAGAGGAACATGGTCGGCGCCAAGTAGGAGGACAGCCGTGAAGGACCCCGGGCTGGCGGAGACAGGTGTGAGACAGGCCGGGCCCGGCAGACACAGGGTCTGCATCTGTGCTCGGTATCATGCCACGGCCTCAGGCTGCTGGACACCACTGGCCAGGGCGTGTGAGCCCTCCTCAGTCTGCCATGGACACGAGCTGTTAATGGCGAACAGAGCTCAGGCCTCTTCTCGAGCTGCCAGGACACAGGGGCCTCTCGGGCTTGTCCTGTTGGGCCCGGGAAGGGCAGGCCAGTCAACGCTGGCTGCAGGCTGAGCGCAGGATTTGCGCGTGGACGGCGGGTCCCCCAGAAGCATACGGCACCCCACAGCCCACTAGGCACCACCAGGATTGGTGATGCCCATCAGATGGGCACCTTCGACCTCAGACTGAGGCGGGGTCAGTCTCGGAGAATGAAACAAGACACACACAGACCGTCCACACTGTCGGTCACTTGCCGTCCCCAGGAGTTTCCCAGTACAGCATTGCTGCCCACCAGGGCCATACTTTTTTTTTATGAATTTAAACCGCTTTTCTATCTTCGTTGTCTACGCACCGACATCTCATTATGACGAAAGAGAAATCGAGAAGTTCTACATGGAGCTAGAGAAGTTCTATAAAGAAGACCACACCTTCTACAAGATCATTGTGGGTGATTTTAATGCCAAGATAGGACCGAGAAGATCAGCTGAAGAACTTCACATCGGAACCCATGGCCTAGAATGGAACGAACAGGGTGAGAGACTGTCTGAGTTCATCATGTCGACCAAGACCATTCATGGTAACTCACAGTTCCAGAAGGCAGAATCTAAACGATGGACATGGGAGTCTCCCGGTGGACGATTCCACAACGAAATAGACCACATCATATTCAATTGACGGTTTTGCCTGACTGATGTCGCTGTTGTCCCAAAATTTCGAACGGGATCGGACCACCGTCTCCTTCGTGCAAAATTCTACTTCACAGAGCTGGGAGAAAGGGCTGCAAAGTTCAAAAAGAGAACTCCCAGAATGACCACCAACTGGGAACTCTTTGGTACTATTGCGGCAACATGGGAAGATGCCATTGTTGACAACATTGACGAGGAATACGATCGACTGGTTCAGCACCTCCATGAATGTGCGAGGAACGCCAAGAGAGAGATAGCCACAAAAAATCGCCTATCTTCAAAAACTCTTGAGCTAATTCGCCAGCATGGTTTGGCGCATGCCTCAGGCAATCGCAAGCTAATGTCCGAGCTCGCAAAGCAGTGCAGAGATGCGATCAAGGAAGACCTCAAAGAGAGAAGAGCAGAAGTACTGGTAGATGCGGCAGAAGCCGGGACAAGTATTCATAATGCCCGCCTGTCCTTCGCCAACTACAAGACCAAGATGACTGCCCTCCGACATTCTGATGGATCCATCACATCCTCCAGAACGGCAATGGAGAAGATTATCCATGACTTCTACTCAAATCTCTTCGATAACCATGTCCACTTGCCGACATACCAAATTCCACAGGATGGATATGTCGTTCCCAATGTTCTCCCTTCCGAAATCCGACACGCCATTTCGTTGGTAAAGAAACAAACAGCACCCGGCCCAGACAAGGTCAGACCTGAACACCTGAAGAACCTGCCGTCAGTACTCATCAATACACTGGCTCGGCTCTTCACTCGCTACCTGTCTGAATGCAAGGTTCTGTCCCAATGGAAAACCAGCAGGACCGTACTACTGTTCAAGAAGGGAGACATCCATGACATTGGCAACTATCGCCCGATCTGCCTATTGTCTGTCATCTACAAGTTGTTCACTCGAGTCATCCTGAATAGGATTGGCAGAACACTAGATGAAGGACAACCATGCGAGCAAGCAGGGTTCCGCAAAGGATTCAGCACCATCGACCATATCCACACGATAACCAAGCTCATTGAGGTTTCTCGGGAGTTCAAGATGCCGCTCTGCTTAACGTTCATTGATTTAAAGAAGGCCTTTGATTCTGTTGAGACGGAAGCGGTCATTGAAGCCCTAGCCAATCAGGGCATTCAAGCCCAATACATCAGGATCCTCCGTGAGCTGTATTGCGGATTCACTACCAGGATCTCACCATTCTACAAAGAAGTGATCGTTGATGTCAAGAGAGGGGTGCGGCAGGGTGATACCATTTCACCGAAACTCTTCAGT